CCAGATCTCAGCTACATCCTCAGTCTCCTGAGGTGGGCACTGAGCTGAAGTCAGGAGGCCTGTCCTGACCCTTCTGAAGACCCTTAAAAAGGCAATGGGCCCTAGGCCTGCACTGACACAGCTGTTTGTGGGGGCCCTTTCTGGTGTGGCTCTGAGGATTCAGGGAGAGGGTGTTGGTGATTGTGTTTCTAATACTAGTTCCAGCATCATCCCCACCTGGAGAGAGAGAGAGCGTGCTTGTCAAAGCTCAGGAGAAATGCCAGCCCTTGTCACGGAACTGCTCAGACCTGTGCAGCTCCTGCAGGAGCAAGCAGCCACTCTGACACGCCCTTGGCTCCTCAGAGGGCGCCCACTCCTCCAGACACTGGGTTATTCTTTGTCATTGGAAATGGGGTATTGTTTCTCCCTGGCTGGCCTTGGGGGCCCACTTGCCTTTGCCCTATGACTTTATATCAGAGTGCATAAAAAATAAAGAACCTGGTGGCCTTGCTCCAAGGACCTATGGCTTGAGCAGGGGTGGGAGGACTCTGTGTAGGCTCCCTCTTACACTGTGTGTGTGTGTGTGAGAATGTGAGTGTATGTGTGTATTTGTGTGAGTATGTATGTGTATGCGTGTGTGAATGTGTGAGTATATGTGTATGAGTGTGTGTGTGTGTGAATGTGTGAGTATATGTGTATGAGTGTGTGTGTGTGTGTGAATGTGTGAGTATATGTGTATGAGTGTGTGTGTGAATGTGAGTATATATGTGTGTATGTGTGTGAATGTGAGTATATGTATGTGTATGTGTGTATGTGTGTGTGTGTGAATGTGAGTGTATTTGTGTGAGTATGTATGTGTATGCGTGTGTAAATGTGTGAGTATATGTGTATGAGTGTGCGTGTGTGAATGTGTGAGTATATGTGTATGTGTGTGTGTGAATGTGAGTATATGTGTGTGAATGTGAGTATATGTATGTGTATGTGTGTGTGTGTGTGTATGTGTGTGTGTGTGTGTGTGTGTGTGTGTGTGTAGGGAGGTGAGGATTCCAGACAAGGGAGCAAGCAAGTGGCTTCAGCTCTAGCACCTCTGAACTGGCCCAGAAAACAGAGTGAGCCTGCCCTCTGCTACAGTGACCACCAAGATTTGAGATTAAAGCAGGTCCCCACCTCCTTAGCCTAAGGCAGGAATCTGGAGGAAGCTTTAAAAGCCATGAGTACACAGGATAGTGTTGACAGCCAGTGCCCTAAATACAGGTACCTGGAAGCAGAGGTGAATCTCTGAGTTTGAGGCCAGCCTGGCTACACACTGAGTAGGGGCAGAATTGTGAGATCTTGTGGTTAAAAAAAGTGGTTTAAAACTACCTAGGATTCTTGTTCTCCCCCAGCTTCTTGGGAACATTTGGTTGACCTGGGAGACACTCCTGGTTGTCAAGGTGGACAGACAAGAATGCTACTGGAATCTTAGAGCAGGGGTGTTGTTCAACAGGCTATGCTTTTTAATTTTTTTGTTTGGTTTTCCAGTGTAAGAGTTCTCACTGTTCTAGAATTTGCTCTGTAGATCAAACTGGCCTAGAACTCAAGAGACTCATCTGCCTCTGCCTCCATTGCCACATTGTACAGACTACAAAGGAATGATTCAGCTCTAAGTCTGCCTGTAAAGCTCTCAGCAAATGCCCCAAATTTACTGAGGCATGGTGGCTCACACCTGTAATCCCAGCACTCTGGGAATGGGGAGAAGGGAATCATTAAGGGTTTGACACCAAGGACAGCTTCAACAAAACAGAACTCATTTTGTAGACCCGCCTTCCTCTGCCTCCCAAGTGCTAGGATTAAAAGCATGTGCCACCACTGCCTGGTTTAAGAACAACTTTTTACTGTTGAATCTGGAAGCGAGTGAATAATCCACTGTACCCAAAATAAAAATAAAGCTGAAGCAGAGAGACCGTGTTTTTATTAAACCATCAACTTTGGTGCTGGGATAGAACACAAAGCCTGCTGTAAAGCTAAGCAAATGCTGTACCACTGAGCTACACCGCAGCTCTGAGCCTAGGTTCTTAAGGAGTATTTACTCAAGGTGCCTGTGTACCTGTCAGAAATAGATTCCAGAGACATACCCAGACCAACCTGCCAACCTGAATCAGCTCATATGGGATGGTGATGTTTGGGAAATCTACATTCTACAAGCCAGCCTGGGGATTCTTGATCCAGACACATTTAGGAAACAAAACATTAGACTTTAGTCATTGTCCAGGAGTAATTCCAGCAGGATCATGGGTTTCTACAGAGGCAGGAAGGTAACTTAACGTGTGAGTGATAGCCAGGCTTCTCTGGGGAGCAGAGTTATACCTAGCATCTCTTGAGGATGATCCTGGTGCATAAGATGCCAAGATGCCAGGTGGATGCAACGTGATGGGAATGGGACAAATATTAGGCCCCTAAACTGCTCTATAGGGTTTAGGAACACAGCACAGCGGTAGGATGCTTGCTTATCATGCATGATGTCCTAGGTTTGAGTCTCAGCACCGTTAGAAAGAAGACAAACAAAACCACTTTATATATTTTGCAGTTCCAGGACAGACATATCTCAAATTCAGGGCCTATGGGAGTCAGGTAAGTAATGTCTTTAAAATGGCATTTACTGTGTGTGACTGTGTGTCCAAGTTCCCATGTTGCATGTGTGGGAGGTCAGAGGACAACTAGGACTGATTCTCTCCTCCCACCATGCAGGTTCTGGGGAATGTATTTAGGTGGTCAGTCTTGGGGCAGCTCCTTTTTCTGCTGAGCCATCTGATAGCCCTCCTTTTTCTGCTGAGCCATCTGATAGCCCAAGGGAAGTAATATTAAGTGGCCTAGTGTGAGACGAACAAGAGGGAGTGGTGGGGACTGTGGCAAAGATAGATGCTGGGTAATGGTGGCTAAAACACAGTACCTGCTCGTTGTAGCTCTGCAAGGTAGGCCCAGGGCCCTGGGCCTTCCCATTCTTCAAGCAATGCCAGAACTTGCTTGGGTAAGATTCGTTCAAGGCCCTGAGCTCTGAGCCATCTTCTGGGTTTGAGCTCTGGCAGGTTACTTGTGATAGTTAATCTTCACTGTCAACTTGACTAGATTAAGAAAAGCCCAGGGGATTAGTAAAGCACCTCAGGGATTGTGTGAGCATTTCCAAAGACGATTAGCTCACAAGGCCTCTGACCTAATCAATTCCTCTATGGCTTGCAGGACAGCATTATTGGGAGGTGGTGAGACATGGAAGGGTGGCGCTTGACAGGAAGGTCACTGCATGTGTCCTCGGGGACTGTATCTCAGTGTGGTCACTTCCTAGGTCCCTTTGTTTGACTCTTGGCTGCCGTGACACAAACTGATGTCTCTGTCACACCCTCTCCATCAAGATGGACTGACGTCTCTGAGTCCACTCGCTGAGATAAATGCTCGAAGTTGCCTTTTACCCCACTACCTGGTCACGGGACACAAAGGCCTCCACATTAGCTTGTTTGAGCATCGGCCTTGTTTCCTGCACAGTGAAGACTAACATGCTGAGATTGCTGAGGTCTGAAGAGGAGTGTTTGGTACTTAGGACATTCCACACATGTAATGGCTAACTAGTCTTATCCTGTTGTTTCAAATGGAGACACAATTGCAGACTGTTCCTACCAAAATGCACAATCTGATTATAACCATGAAAAAATATCAAAAAAAAAAAAGGGCATTCTGTAAAATCACAGGTCTAGATACTTCAAAAAAAAAAAAAAAAAGTATCTGGGTTGGACAGATGGCTCAGTAATAAAAAAACCAACTGCTCTCACAGAACACCTATGTTTTGTTCTCAGCACCTTACAGCAATTGCCTGTAAGTCCAGTTCTCAGGTGATGTGACACCCTCTCCTAGCCATCAAAGGCACCAGGCATGCATGTGGTACCCATACATATATACATGTGGTAGCCGTACATACATGCAGGCACTCACATATGCACATTAAAAAATATTGGTGTAGAGATGTCACTCAGTTCCTAGAGAACCTGTTTAGCATTCAGGGGGCTCTGGATTTGTTTGTTCCCAGCTCTGCAAAACACCTGGCATGATGGTGTACCTGTCCTCCCAGAACTTGGGAGACAGGAGTCTCAGCTGTTCAAGATAACCTTCCACTACATAGCAAGTTTGTGGCTAGCCTGAGCTACACAAAACCATCTTTTTATTTGATACAGGGTTTCTTGGTGTAGCTTTGGAGCCTATCCAGGAACTCAATCTGTAGGCCAGGCTGACCTTGAACTCACACAGATCCGCATGCCTCTGACTCCAGAGCCCTGGGATTAAAGGCATGAGCCACAACCTCCCAGGTCTCTCTTAAAATGTTTTGTGTGTATGTGTGAATGTTTTGCCTTGCCTGTATATCTCTGAACCACATGTGTGACAAGTCCCCATAAAGGCCAGAAGAGGCTGCTGATCTCATAGAACTGAAGTTACAGATGGTGTAAGCAATGAGGATCCTAGGCATCACACCTGGGTCCTCTGGAAGAACAGCCAAGTGACCTTAACCACTGGGCGCTCCTACGCTCCTACCCTGCAACATATGTATTTTTTAAATTCAATTACATGTAATACAATGTAACATCTTAATCATGAAACAAAAATATTGTGATCAGTAGTTAGCAGGAGCCAAACTTTTGAGTTTTCCCTTGCACTGGTGGCTCAGTGTGTGCACAGCAGTTTCTGGTGACTATAACTACCTCCAAAAGAAACAAGTGGGTACACATTTTAACTACAGTCTCTGAAGGTTTCTTTTGAGAAGGAAATTTCCAAACATGTCTTGGAATACAGCTCAGTGGGAGAGTGCCTGGTCAAGTTCCTGGGTTCTATGCCCAGCAGCAGTTTTGGTAGAGTTGGTGGACTGAGCCCAAGGCTTTGGCTGTATCAGGCAAGTGTTCTGTCTCTGAGCCCTTTCAATTTTTAAAAAGACTGTTTTGTGGCTCACCTGACTGGGACATCCTACCAGGCAGTCCAGATCCAATAAACATAGACACGAGGAAGAGGTGTCCCTTGTGAGTATATTTTATGCATTTCACTCACACACACACACACACACACACACACACACACACACACACACAGAGGAAGCATCCGGGTGGCACTGGTGTGGGGGAGGAGAAAGGACAAAGACAGCATCTGTCCCACACACTGCTCCCCACATCCTACCAGGAGGGGGACCCAAGCTGGAAGAACAGGGAGTGCTTATCCTCACAGAAGAAAAGTCTCAAAGTGCAGTGATTTAAAAAAAAAAAAAACACCTCTTCCCGCCACACACTGCCCCGGTAAAGCCCAGTCGCCTGCACAGGCCATCCTCCAGACTGGGCCAGAACAAGGTCATGGGGAAGGGCGTAAGACGAAAGCTCCACAGGGCCAGTGGGAAGGCAACGACTCAGGCATAATGGGTGCCAGGTGTCAGGGAATGGTCCCCTCTGTGGTCCAGCTGGTCCTGCAAGCGGGCAAACTCCGCCAGCTCGTTGAGCTCCTGGAACTGCCGGTCCGTCTTATGGCTGACCAGTGAACGGTAGAAGTGAACAGCAAAGACGATAAAAACCAGGCCACAGGGGACCATGATGGCCGTGGAGGCGATGGCTGCCGCTTCACCCGGGGTGATGCCACCACTGCTACTGTTGGCGACCACAGCTGGTTCAGGAGGGCGCTTGGTGGGGCTTGGCTGGCCTGAGTGTCTCTTGAGGGGTAAGAACTTGACCCAGCAGAGCAGCACAACCTCGGCCAGGAAGAGCAACGTCCCGATGACGGTGGAGAAGGCCCAGGCCAGCTCGATGTGGCGATGCATGCGCTCGTGGGGGGACTCTTTGACCGAGTTGAGGTTGTGCACATTACTCACGGCCTCGATGTTGGGGAGGATGCAGGTGCTAATCATGAGTGCAAACAGGTGCACTGCCACCAGCACTGTGGTACAGGCACTGAACACGATGAGTAGCCCTGGCGGGTAGTCGTGGTCTGTGTCCAGCTGGACTTCTACCATCGCCACCTAGGAGAGGGGGACATGGAAGTGAGTGACGTGCCAAATCCTATTTCCCTGCCCACCAGACCTGTCACTTGGTTGCTCAGAGTCTCTGTTTCTGGGAATGAGAAGGCCTACCTACTCAACTGTGGGTAGAGACGTAGCAAAAACTACTGATGAGGACAGCAAGCATGAATCCATTAGCTCTGTGTCCATAGGAAGTCAATGTCTCCGGGCCTTACCATATACAGGAAATAGGTGTGACCTATTAATTCATAGATGTTTCACAACTGAGAGAGTTCCCAGCGAACAGTAAGCATCTTCCAAATGGGAATGCTGCCACTATCAGTGTTGATCATAAACAGTGGGAGGGGGATCTCTCTGAGTTCGAGGCCAGCCTGGTCTTCAAGTTTCAGGACAGGCTCCAAATCAATAGAGAAACCCTGCCTCGAAAAAACAAAAACAAAAACAAAACAAAAATCACTGGACAGTGGTGGCGCACACCTTTAATCCAAGCACTCAGGAGGCAGAGGCAGATGGATCTCTGTGGGTTTGAGTCCAGCCTGATCTACAGAGCAAGTTCCAGGACAGTCAAGGCTACCCTGAGAAATCTGTCTCACTGTCATATCAAAATAGGACTCTTATTTCATGTCCTGCTCTGGGGACAAGGAACAGGTTGGAAGCTGGAGACATGATGGTCTTCCCACATCCTATCTAGGCCCATTCTGAGAACAGAGTGCACGGGCCAACAAGGAACTGAGAGACTTCTCGGAACACACAGGCTCAATGCAGTGGCTCGATAGCCAGCAAGCCCCAGGGCCATCTCCAGTGCCTCCAGGGCTTACACACCAGTCACTCCCAAGTTCCTGAAGACTTGAGGGTTTGGGGTTACCAGGGGCACTCTGAGCCCTGCAAACCACCCTCATGTAAAGGAGCCAGCTCATCAGATTTGGGCCAGGAACAACAGGCAGTTAGGTACATTGCCAGGGTCTGCCCATGTGGGCTGGAGGGTCAAGGGCAACAAAGAAGCAAGAAATGACACTGTCATGAAGGGAGGCTGGGGAAAGTAACTTGGTAGAATGCTTGTTCCCCACCCACGAAGCCCTCTGTTCAGTTCCCAACACTGTTACACTATGTGTGGTGGCTCATGCCTGTAATCTCAGCACTGGGAAAGCAGAGACAAGGGGGATGAGAAGTTCAAGGTCATCCTTGGCTACACTGTGAGTTCAAGGGCAGCCTGAGCTGACCCAGTCTTTAATGAAAAAAAAAAAACAAAACCAACAACACAAAATGATGGTAAATGGGGGAGGGGGATGATGTCTGAGTCAATCCACACCAAATACTTGCTTTGTGGGGGGCATAGTGAAACCAGTAAAAGTGAGTTTTATTAGTACTTAGTTTTAAACCTTCATTCCCATACCGACCTATCTACCTGAAATCCCGTGGTTCTCTCCCTCCTGGAGGGAGAGGCAGGTCAACCTTAGACCTGGCTCTCAAGTCAAAGGCATCTCTTGAGTTTTGGTCCATACCCAACTCTCTAAGAATGGAGGGGTTAGACTAGAGTCAGAGCAGAGAGCCCAAGAATCTGAGGAAAGGAACGCTTGCCTACAGGGAAACAGCCCAGTTTATATTCCCAAGACTCTTCAGGACATTCCAACACGATTTAAAGGCTTTTGTCTAAGAATTGCCACAACTAGCCAGGGTAAGGATGCTCCTGCCTGAGAATTTATGGAGCGGTTCAAGTTCACGGAAATTTGGGGCACTGCCATGAGGATTCTGACCGTTGTTTAAGATTCCCTGGTGGCCTAATGCCAACCCTGAGAATTATTCTGAGCCCATGCGGGCAAGGGAGCCAGGCAACTCAGTCCATGCGGGCGAGGGGCTGAGAACAGCACAGCAAAGCAAGGCACATCTGGAGGCTCTGACCCAGTCTGTATCCCTACCTGGAGAAGCTGGGTACCCTCAGCAGCACCCTGCCACCTCCCCACCCCCATGCTTCCTCTTCCTGTTTTGGTGTGCTGTCCCGGAACCTGAGAAAGAACAAGCAGGAGGGGCTGGTGCAGCCCCAGGTCTGCTGGGGTGGAGGGGAATATGGACAACTGTTCTGTGGGTCCGGTGTTGGGGGTGTTATTGTCAGGTTTGTGTGCTCTCCTGCACCCCAGTAACCTCCACATGCCATACTGCAGAATGTTCAACACACAGACCCACAACACAAACTGAATGTGAAACCTGTGCTTTAGCTTACAAAGCTGGTGACCCTGGACAAGTATTTAAACTCTTCTGCAACCTAGTTTTGGCATTTGTAAAATGGAGGCCTGCTTATGATTGGTATGAAGTTCCTGTGTGAGTACAAAATGCCCTTTAAACATGACCTGACTTACGATAAAGTTTACAGAGATCAGTGATTCTTATTAGTTATCATTGTTGGGGCAGAGGCTGTGACTCAGCAGGAGCATGCTAGCCTAGTGTGGTGAGGCCCTTAATACCATGTACATACATACATACATACATACACACAGACAGACAGACACATCCATTGCTCACATTCAAATAAGGAAATTGGCTCAGAGAAATGAGAGCCATTGTAGAAAGTTAGCTATCCTGCTCTAGGGTAGGGTGGGGGAACTCACAGCCACTCTAAAGATGTGTAAGGAGGGTGCTTCCTTCACATGGTCACTGAGGTTAAATGAGGTTTTGATATGTAAATGTTTAGCATAGACTCAGCCACAGGAGAAGCTCAATAAATCCTAGTTAAAAAAACAAAAACAAAGTTAGAAGTAGAAGAAGGCCGGCACACTATTCACTACTGGAAGCCTGGTACATCCCTTTCGGAGACAGCACTAGCTGGGCCCCTGATGTGGGCATCAGGGGAAGTGTACCCCACCCAAGACCTGGCCAAGTGACCATCTCTTTGGGACAGCACCACCAGGGCCACAAAACTCAGGGAAGCACACATGGCCTAGGGTACCAAAAGCCAGTATCCTCACAGCCTTGGGCTGAGGGAAGGCTGAAGTCCCCATGAGGAAGGGCCTGCAGCCTGCTGTGCTTGAAAGAAACCGCACTACCCTCATTTACCATTCATTCCTGGAAGTCCAACACAGGCTGGCCATATGCACTATTGCCACATGTAGGACCAAGTTCAATGCCATAGGGCTACACATAAGAAATTATGCTGAATGAGGAGTAAGGGGTAGCTGGCATAAATCATGAACCCTGATGAACTGTCCACAAGCATAAGAGTCATCTTCCAGTATGATTCCCACTAGGGTTATGTCCCACAGGGTCAGGGGAGGCCTAACATAATCTGGCAGCTGACATCCCGGGGCCCCAGCAGTGTCCCAGAGATCACATCAGATCAGATTGCATGCAGCTTCACAAGGTAAATATAGCAGAGAGCAGGACTGTTAACCCAAAATAAACAGTTCCTAGCCAGCCAGCAGGCCTCTGCAAACCCAGCTGGACAGGGCCAGAGGACAGGCCTCAACTCACACCAGTCTACAGAGCCTCACAGGGGATATTGGGGATCCTAGACCTGAAGCAAAGGCTAAAGATTATTGATCCTGTGGAGGGTAAGGCCCGATGACCTGGTCAGGCATGTGTCCACCCCACTTGAATACCAACCACCTCTTACCTTCCTGCTGGGCTCCACGGAGACCCTGACCACCCGGCAATCCCGGTACTTGGTACTTTTGAGAGAGCCCCCTCCCTTGCCCAACTCCTCTACCCACAGTGGGAAACAAGGCTTTCTCCCCCCGCCCAGCTCCTCCAGTTCATCCTCCAGTTAAGTTATCCTCTGGAGAGCTGCAGCCGTGGGGAGACCCCCAAGCCTCAGTCACATGGGTTGCGATGAGTTAGCACCTGCTAACTCAATTCCAAATGATTCCGCAGACCCTCTACTGAGAGAGATCTGAATCTGGTCCTGTGGTTTACAAAATCTCTTGACCACGGCAGTCCAGTACTCCAAATGTTTCTAAAAATAGATATGCACTCTTTTTTATGAAACAGAAACAAAAGTTTCACCCAGCACCACTTACTCCTGAATCCGCCAATGTGGCCCATTCTTACAAGCTTGTGCTCACTACCTCCCCCTCCCCTGAGAATTCCTGAGATGGTAGTTATATCTCCCATTCTGAAGGAGAGACAATACTGTAGGAAATCAAAGTTGCCCCGACCCCCCAACCCCACTCCAGGGTAAGTCCTCTAAAGGGTTGGTAATCAATCTTCCTTAACCCAAGAGGGCAGGTGCAGAAAACAAGATACCTGGGTCAGGGTGGGGTATGCTGGCTCCTGAAAAAATGGATGAGAAACACATGCATTTTTCCGGGGATGGAGAACCTGGTGCCTACACTCATTTTTCTATCATACAGATCTTGATGTCCTGGAACTTGCTATGGAGGCCAGTCTGGTCTACATAGTTAGCTCCAGGCTATCCAGGGCTGCATAGTGAGATACTGTCTCAAAACTACACAAATAAAAATTAGTAAGGCTCACTAACAAGTTTTAGTGGAGTTCGGAGACCAAAGTTCAGACCAGAGGTTGATCAACTGGGGCCCTCAGACTGTGGCTTTCTGTAATGTTTTATAGGCCTACACCCCTCTATTGCTCACACCCGCTAATTTACATATCATCCGAGGCCAATGACAGAGTGCAATAGCTGCCTGGAAAACACGCTGCCCTGACAGAAAAAGGTGGCTGACCCTAGGGTTAGACTAAAATTCCCCAAAGGTGATTATCATGTAACAGTCACATATAAGAACCCTCTCTAAGGAGGAGGGAGACTGATCAGAGCCAAGTATAATGACATACGAATGAAAACGCTACAACAAAACCCATCACTTTGTATAACTTAAAATTAATTAAAAAAACAAAACTTTTCTTACTCGGTGTGGTGACATATGCCTCCAGTCCCAGGACTCAGTGCCAGAGGCAGGAGGATTCCTGAGTTTGAGTCAGCCTGGTCTACAGGGTGAGTTCCAGGACAGTTAGGGTTACACAGAGAAACCCTGTCTTCTGAATCAGGCAAGATGGGATATACCTGTCACCCCAGCACTCAGAACATTGAGGCAGGAAGATTAAGGGCTCCTTGACAGACTAGACTATATTGAGACACAATCTCAAAGGAAAAAAAAAAAAATAACAAAGACCCTCTTTAAAAAACAAAACAAAACCATCAACACTGTCTGGCTGTGGTCCCATCTGTCTAAAAGCACATTAAAAGGCCCTCAGATAGTTCATCAGAGAAATCAGCTGATTTTCATTTTAACTTCATATTCCGTTTTCTTCTGACTATCCTCTGTCTCTACCCAGTGCACATCAATAGAGTGTTACCTTGGGAAGCCTACTTCAGAAGAGTATTTTCCTCACCAGTCAGCGACCCATCAAGGGGAGGGCCCCTCACTGTTCCCAGATGAGAATTCCAGAAACATGCCGCAGGCACTCGCAAAGTTTCACAAAAGGCTTCTCTGCTGGGCAGACATCAGCCTCCTCTTGGGACATTCAGCAGAGTTCCATTTATACACAGCCCAGCATACAAATCCTGCATGCAGAATTGGGCATCTGGCAGGCTCCAAATTAGATACACCAGAACTTGGACCCTACTCGCTGGTGATCTGAGCCGCTAAGAGCCCTCGTTTCTCTGTGTGGAGCTCATGCTTTCGAGCTTCTGTGAGGTTTAAACAAGAATGAAGAAGGGAGTCCAGGCTTCTTCCAGACACAATAGGGATTGTATAATAACCACTTTTACCATCACTATCATGTTATTCATGCCACTCCTGTCTATAGCTCCCTACTTTGATAGCTCCCTACTGCCCACACAAGAGTTCAAACTCCCTAAACAACCAAATCAAGGGCCTCTACCATAGAGCTTTTGTTTAAGACAAGGTCTATAGCTGTGGCTAGCCTGGAACTTGATATGTAGACCAGGCTGGCCTCAAACTCACAGAGGTCCACCTGACTTTGCCTCCTGAGTACTTGGCTTAAAGGTGAGCACCACCGTGCCTGGCTACCATAGTGAGCTGGTGTGTGGCACAATGCCAGTCACACCAGACTCCCTATCTTTCCCTGAAGGCCCAGTGACTGATGTCTGTGACTGCTCCTGCCAGTTCCTCTGACTAGGCTCTTCTCCAAACCTCACTCCACCATTCTCAAGGCTCAGTTGGAATCACATTCTTCTAACTCAGCTAACCCTTCAAAAACAGCCCCCTACATCATGGAAACTCCAGTAAGCAAGTTTCCTAGATACCAAGGCAGGTATTACAGTCTGCAAATACCAACCCACCAAATCCTTACACCAACGAAGTTGCTGTTATCATTTCATGTTACAGGCGAGACAACGGAGATCCAAGGAGGCTAAGTGACTTCCCCCAGATTTTACAGTCGGAAGAGGCCTGGCTGAGACTGGCATCCCAGCAGGACGGATGTAGTCCCTGTTCCTACTTCTCTGCCCTAGAATCCCTGGACTCTATGTCCTTACTATTCTCTGATGCTTGTTCTTCCTGTGCCACTCAGAAAGCTTCAGCTGCTTCCCCAACCAATGGACTTCACTGAGGCAAGTCAATCATTGGGGCCAACCATGCTTGTGGAAAGAAGGCATAATGACACTTCTAGAGCATTTCTGCACAGTGGCTAGCCTAGTGCAAGGGCCTCATCAACTCCAGCATTAATGATCATTTCTGGGGATTAGTACTGAGCAGTAACAGTAGCTTCTTGCTCATCTCTAGCCTCCTGGACCTCCAAGTAAGTCTTAAACACCCAATAATGTCTTATGACTTGAGTGCCTCCTTCCAACTCATTTCCCCAGAAATCTCAGCCAACTCCTAACCTGCTCTGGAACCTGGAACAAAAGGGGGCTGGCGGGCAGAACTTGCGGAGGAAGATAATCCAAAAATAATTGATCCCAGGTCATGGAAAGCATTTTGTTTACTGCACCAGGCTGACCTTCCCAATTATCGTCTGCTTAGGCTAACGTTACAGCCTGCCCTCCTCAGTGGACTGGACTGCCATGCATCATCACCACGGTGAGTGCTTATACAGGGACAGGCCCAAAGGTCACTCTTGGCTCCAGGGACACTACAAGATGCACACATCTACCCTATGCTCAGGTTCATTCTGTATCTTGTTGAGTCTCTCCAGCAGACCATAGAAGAGCAGGCCACAGCATCAGATCCCGAAATTGCTCACCACTCTCCCAGGTGGGCCCTTGTAATGAGTCTTCATATAAGTCAAGAGACTGGAATCTGCCCACCTTTATGCATGAGAAAAGTAACCTCAAAGACACTTCCCCTCATCATGTTACAGTTACCTAGCTGCTCTTCTTTTGTGAAGTTAGGCTTTTTGGGAGACTTCCCTTACCCTCAGCTGTGGATGAGCAGGTGAATTTGGCATTCTAGGCAACCTGGCTAACCCTAGAGAGCAAGACTCATGCCAGCTCCTCCACTCTTCCAGGTTTGCAGGAAGGAAGCCCTCTGGGGGCAGGAAGTTCGTTATGCTGACTCACAAGCCAAGCGAGAGTAATCCAGGAAACTTGTCACTGTTGCCATGGCATCGGGGTGGCCAAGCACCCCTTCCTCTCTTGAGGCTCACTCAAGAGCTGGGTGTCAACAGTGAGGGCACAATCAGACCTCAGACCATGCATCCAGTGGTCTTAGGAGTCCCCACTTCACAGCAAGTACTTAGTTACCCTCTAAACTGCTGCTCAGCACAGAGGCTGTCCTGGGATTCAACCCTTCCTAGTCTATAGAGTGTAGATGCCGCGGTGGAGTTAAGGAGCCTACTCCACCCAGGCTGAGAAAACACAATTCCCAGACAGACAGTGTGGAGGTGCCCACACCCACACAAAGTTATTAGCTACCACAGCCTTCTAAAACCCTCCACTGTTTTTAGTGGAGGTCTCTCCTCTTACAGAGGAAGAGAGAGTAGGTAAGTGTCAGCTGCAGGAGAGTGTCCCCTGAAGCAGGGAGAGGGTACAATGGTGGCTCACCTCCACATTGTGTAAAACTTTCTCTTTAGCTTCCGAAGAAACGGTCTGGCTTTGTCTCATTCCCCAGATCTGGTGTTCCTTGCCTTTGGCTGGACACTTAGCACAGCACGTGGTGACAAGTAGCACAAGTACCTAAGCAAGAACTAGTTGCAGCTGGGCTTTAATCCCAGCACTGGGGAGGCACAGGCAGAGGCAGGCAGATCTCAGTGAGTTCAAGGCTAGCCTGGCCTACAGATCCATTGAGTTCCAGGACAGCCAGGGCTGTAACCCTGTCTCAAAAAACAAACTAGTTGCCAGCTGATCTTGGTTCAAGTCCTGTTTACCAAAAGAACTGTGTGGCCTAGGTAAAGCCCCTTGACAAAAAACAGAGCAGACTGTTGGGGAGTTAGCCAGCACAATGCTTGGCACAAGATCCAAGATAAAAAATGTCTAGCTCAGACCAGGCAGTGGTGGCCCATACCTTTGATCCCAGCATTCAGGAGGCAGAGGCTGAACCTGTAAACAGGACAAGTTCCAGGACAGCCAGGGCTACAAAGAGAAACTCTGTCTTGAAAAGAAAAAGAGAATTTTATCATTTTGCCTGAACTACAAAATACAGAGCTACCCTTTTATTTTCTCTAAAAAAAAAGGTCTTCATAAGTAGTTATGTATAGGCTGACCTTGAACTTGTGGGCAATCCTCCTGCCTCTGCCTCCTGAATACTATAATTATAGGCTACACCCAACTCTTCCTCTTTCTCAAATAAAGGACTCATTCAACTTCATTTTTAAAGTCAGGAGAACTCCCCCCCCCCACAAAGACAGGGTTTCTCTGTCACTTTGTTGGCCAGGTGGCTTCAAACTCAGAGATCCACCTGCCTCTGCTACCCCACCATCCAGTGGTGTCTGAGGAACTTTTAAAAGAACAGTTTTTATTTACTATTTCAGAAATCAAGGTCCAGGGAGAGAAAGAGAGAGTGATTTGCCTGAGGTCATACAAGCAGCAAGGGGCCCTAGGTGGCCCAGAGCACTGTGAGCCTCTAATGCATTCGGGCTCACTGCTGTTGCACTGACCCACTCGTTTGCAGAAGACAGGGAGAGAGACCCAGACACACTCCCTTCCCAAGAAAACACCAAGGCTGCCAGCCACTCCCTTCCTCAAGACTTAGAGAACGTATGGGGGAAGGTGCTGGGAAGCAGAGAGAGGCAGACTCCATCCATGCAGGTTGATGTCACCAAAAGATAATAAATGTAGTTGTTACATGGCGCCTTGCCCCTGGCAAACTCCGAGATGTCTTGCCTGAAGGTATTCCCAGAGGTAACTTCTGTGGCCTAACCTGCAGCCTCCAGAGTCGCCTCTTGCAGAGGCTTCTTGTACCATCTTCTTGGGACGTGAGGGGAGGAAATTATGTCTATCTCCTAATCAAGCAAGAGCCCGTTCAAGGGGAACATGTCCCACCCTCCTCCCCCACACCCAGTGACTCAGAGGCAAGTTTCTGGAGAAGAAACTGAGGATGGGGAGTGGCTGTCAACCCCTAGGCTGAGGATCTTGGAAAATGCGGAGGGTGGGGTAAGGGGGAGTGAAAATGTGTGGAGTATGAGGAGGTGGAAAGTGTTGGGAAACCCCCTCCAAATATTTGATAAAGAAGCCTTGGTAATCCCTTGTGGCCTTAGGTGTGTGGGAGGGACCAGCACAGGGTGGTTCTCATCTCCATCCCCAGACACCTGTTCTCAGTGGGCCAGACACATGCAGGGCAGACTTCTTACATGTCAACTTCAGAAAAGCAACACTTCGAGACCCTAACCTCTTGGCCGCCAGTCTGATAACACCTGTGCCTGGGCATCCCGCTCGGGTCGTCCACCTCTCTTCCTCACAGCTCAGTGCCTCTGACTCCCCTCCGGCGTTCACGACGGCTTATCCCAGCTCTTCCCACTCACCCCAGGCACGCCCAGCCCGCTCCCAACTGTGGGCCCCGTCGGGGCTGCGGGCGGGAGCGGCCGAAGCAGGAAGAGGGGAGGAGGGCAGGGCAGCCCGAGCTCACCATGGCGAAGCCGGAGAGCAGAGCCGAGGTCCGGCTGGAGGCTTTGAGCTTGGCGCGGCTTAAGTAGAGCTTGCGCCAGGACAGCGCCTGCATCGAGTGCTCGTTGAGGCTCATCACCTCGGAGTAACTCTGGCCGATCCAGTCCGGGTAGCTGACGGCGGGCGGTGGCGACAGCGGTGGGGCCCCCGAGGGCTCCCCGTCCCCGCTGCGGCGGCGGCTCCGGCGGCTGCCGCTGGTGCTGCTGCCGCCGCTCAAGGGAAGCTCGGGATTGCTGCTGCTCGGGGGCGGGGCAGGCTCCGGATGCATGGAGTTCGCTGCGAAGGCGCGGCTGGCGGCGGGCGCCTGCGAAGGCTGCGGCCCCGGGCCGCGCCGCACCTCCGCCTGCTCCCACTCGAGTTTGTCGCACGCGGCCGGACGCACCCGATCCTGAGGCCGAGGCAGGGGCGACAGAACCGCTCCGCGAGTTCCAAGCGGCAGCGACCCGAGCCTGCGCGCCGACCGGCGTCCGGTCCCAGGCCCGCACCTCGGCGCGCCCCACGATTGGCCGGCGCCCCCGCGATTATTTGCATACACCACACCCACTCATATACCCCGCCCAAAGGGAGGTGGGCGGTGTCCGTGCGAGTTACGTGCCCCGTGCCGCCTCCGACGGCCCCGCCCACAGGCGCTGGCGCGCCTTCCTGGAGGCGCCGCGCACTGACAGGCCTCTCTTCTCCCTGCAGCTGCTCGTGTGGCTTTGCTCCCGGAGCTCCTGAGTTGGGCCATCCGAGGTCACCTCTGGGTGCCTCCTGAGGCCTGTTTCCTACTTGGAACAAGCAAAAGGTCTGTTGGAAAATGACCAAGCTGAGGGCAGGCATTACTTTTGGGATCAAGAGAGACAAAGTCGATCCCAGAGTGGTCATATGTGCCTGTCACCCCAGCACAGGGGAAGCTGAGGCAGGAGAATCACAAGTTTGAGAGGACAAAATTCCCTGCTCCCTTACACCATTTTAGTAGAAGAGACGTACAAACACCAACGTGCGTGTAAATTATAGTCAGAAGGCTGCAAATGTGTAGGGAAAAATAAAAACAGCTAAAAAAAAAAAAAAAAGGATAGTAACAGGGTTGTCGTTTTTTTAGGATGCTAGTCCTCATTTGTATTTTTGAGACTACGTCCGGTCTGGGACGTGTCATATATACCAGTCTGGCTTCGAACTCACACAGATCCATCTGCCCATGCTTCCAGAGTGCTGACATTAAATTCGTGCACTATGATTCCTGGGGCCCCTTCATGGAATTTTCTATTCTGTAGGGCAGACTATAATCACGTTCACACCTTTGCGTCTCATCTGTACTGAGACTTGGACTAGCAATATAAAGAGCCTAAAGGGAAAGGAAACTACTAGTCAGGGGGTATCTGGCTTCGGAATATGGGGGTTGAGGGTGGGACTCAGGCGAGGTAATGTACCAACTAAGGAACTCTTAGGATGTTGAATCCAAAGCAGCCGCTAACAGTGGTTTCACCGCTCTAACCCCCCCCCCCCAGCGTTCAGAATGTTTCTTGGCACAGGTTCCGCATTGAAGAAATATTTGTTGACTGAACACATGTGGAATAAACAAGAACAAGTGACAAATTTAGACCCCAGTCAAATCTCAAGCAGGCAGCGCTCCAGGTCTATGGTGTGCGAGTTCACTCTTGTAAAACCACTAGAGGGCAGCGGGCCACCCAACCACATGGTACAAAGGACAAGGCTTCCTTCCAAGTTTCTGAGACTTCCCTGGAGGCCTGCTTCCCTGGTTTGTAGAGACTGAGAGTTTGGACCTGGCAGAGTGACACATGCCTTTGATCTCGTAGAGAAAACGCAAGGCAAGTGGATCTCTGTGAGTTCTAGGCCAGCCACTGCTACATTAAAAAGACCCTGTCTCCTGTCTCAAGAACAAAAGCAAAATGTGACAAAAGACTGAGGACTTGGCATTTGAAATCTCACCCCATTGAGTTTGTTTTGTAAGTAGGCTTTCTTTTTCTTTTTCTTTTTTTTTCTTTCCTTGAGACAAAGTTTCACTATGTGGCTTTGACTGTCCGGGAACTCACTGTGTGGACCAAGCTGGCCTGGACCTCACAGAGATCTGTCTACTTCTGCCTCCCAAGTGCTGGGATTAAAGGTGAGCGCCACCACACATGGCTTGTACTTATTACTCTTGATCACCATCTGCAACTGGGCTCAAATCTCACTTCCTAAAATGCATAGCCTCATGCCAGATGTGTCTCCCTGACATCTCTCCTCCCATAGCTCTGATTGTTGTTAGCCTGACACAAGCTAGAGTAGGACTCTCAGTTGAGAATATGTAACCTTTGGATTGACCCTTAGGCAAGCCTGTAGGACATTTTCTTGACTGAGTGGCCCAGCCTACTCTGAGTGGTGCTGCCCAGGCCAGGTGGGTAACCCTGGGCTCTCTGAGCACACACCAGAAAGCCGCTTTCTACGATTCCTGCTTCAGTCTTGCTCTGACATGGAGTGACCTAGGAGGTGTAAACCTTTTCTCCCCAAGTTGCTTTTGGTCTTGGCTTTTATCTCAGAGTAGCATCTGAGAGTGTCTAGCCAATTTGTGTACTGATCTGACACCAACTAAAGCATGAGCACTCTTAGAGTGTGTTTGTATAGAAACAGGTTCAATGAGTAAGGCAACAGATGCCTTCGGTTCAGAGAAACCCCTAGCTGGAGAGAGGGTCTGAGGTCTGGAGGGAAAAGTGTCTGGACACCGGAAAGAAAGACCTACTGATTTAAAGCATTGAATCTGGCAGTCTTGACTAAAGACAGGCCTTTACTCTTGACACGGTTTTCTTGACACATCATAACCCCCCTCCTCTCCTTACCATGACAATTTTGAATTTGATTACCAATCAACCCATCTGTATAGATGAGAAAAAAGCTCAGCATGTAGTTCTGGGTTTAATTCTGGCACCAAAGAGTAAAGCAGAAAAGAAAAATATCCAGACCTAGGATGGAGGGAAGGCTCCTAAACATAACTGCTGATCCCAGAGTATAGAAGGGCCCACAGTAACCTTTGTCTCCCTTCCTAGATCCAGGAGGGATCATGCAAAGCCATACACCACTTAGCTATAGAAGCCAGGCAGTGGTGGCACATACTTTAATCCCAGGACTCAGGAGACAGAGGCAGATGGCTCTCTCTGCATTAAAGGCCACCCAGGGCTACATAAGAGTGAGTCCACAGTCCACAGAGCTCAAGCCTGTGTATAAAAGACAGGAGCCCATTCATTGTCTCAGGCTGCATTCTGAGATGTAGGTTCCAGTCACAGGGAAGACAGGATTTCCTCAGCCCTTGGTAGAGGTAAGAGCTAGCTAGCTACTGGCTTGGCTGCTTTGCTTTTCTGATCGTCAGTGACTTTATTAGATCATAAACATATATCACCACAGCTCCCCTTTAATGTCAGCACTCCAAAGGCAGAGGCAGGGGGATCTCTGAGTTCTAGGCCAGCCTGGTCTACACAGCTAGTTCCAGGACAGCCAGGGCCACACAGAGAAAGCCTGAGTTGGCTCAGTGATTAAGAGCATTTGCTGCTTTAGTAGAGTATCAGGATGTGTTCTCCAGCACCCACATGGTGGCTCACAACTGGTTGTTGACTCCAGTTCCAGTGGATTCAACACCCTCTTCTGGCTTCTACAGGCATTTCGTGTGCATGGTTTATGTACGTGCAGGCAAAACACTCAATATACATAAAAATATATATAAACTTAAAAAAAAAAAGCCATTCAAGCTATTAAGATTTTAGCAAGTTCTTCAGGTAAAGTCTGGGAATCACTCAACTAAGGTCTTCTGCATCCAAGTGTCTTGAGTTTACTACATGCTTAAGATGTGTTGTGCTTTTGGCTGCTCAGGTGCATTGTGACCTTGGGCCAATTACTCCCTGAACCTTGGCTGTTTAAGCAAAACTGAGATGTTAGCCCAGCTTGGTGGCTTATGACTCTAATCCTGGCCCTTGACAGGATGGAGCAGGAATTCTGCTGAGAGTTCCAAGCTACCCTTGGCTACACAGTGAATTCTAGGCCAGCCTGGCCTACAGGGTCCTAAAAGTACACACACACAGGCTGGAGAGATGCATCGGTGGTTAAAGGTACTTGTTCTTTTTTTTCTTTTTGGTTTTTTGATACAGGGTTTCTTTGCATTGCATTGGAGGCTGTCCTAGAACTTGCTCAGTAGACCAGGCTGGCCTAGAACTCCGAGATCCACCTGCCTCTGCCTTCCAAGTGCTGGGACTAAAGGCGTGCACCACCACCACCCGGCTAAGGCCCTTGTTTTTTTAGAGGATCTGGGTTCAATTCCCAGCACCCACATGGTGGTTCACCACCATTTAATTCCAATTCCAGGGTATCAGACACCTTCTTCTGACCTCCCTGGGCACCACGCACACCCATGATACAAAATCATACACACACAAAAAAAAACCACACACAAAATTAAAACCACACACACACACACACACACACACACACACACACACACACACACACGAGATGTGAGGGTGTGAGGAAACACAAGAGAAGACAGCAGCTATCCATAAGATGAAGTACACACAAGGCACTGGAGGCAGAGGCTGGGATAAAAAGCCGAAACAGATCATCCTCGTCCCCTAAAACCTTCAGAGAAGAGTGCCCCACTTGGCAGGAGTGAGGAGGCTGTAGTTGCTAGCTGCCTTCTGACCTCCAGATCTGAGACAATAAATCCGTTAACTGGGTGTGGTCGTGCGCCCCTGTAATCCCAGCATTTATGAGGCTGTGGTAGGAGATAAGAGTTTGAGACCAGCCTGGACTATATAATTAGACCTTGTCTCAAGGAAAAAAAAAAAAAAAAAAAAGATAAACAAATGGATCTCTGAACTCTGTAGATCACAGTGCTTTCTTAATGGCAGCTTGAGAGATTACTCTCAGGACCCTGGAGTGTCCTAAAGAGGAGGCTTCCAGAGAGGTTGAATCCTTATTTCTCAGGGGACTGAAAGTACACTCAGAAATAAGGAAAATCATAGATCACTGTGTGAGGTAGGTACACCTGGATTTGGACTCCGGGTTTGACAGTGTATATAACTCAGCTACTTTGGGCAAACATCCCAACCTGTCTAGGCTCCATCTGTCAAGTGGGAGTCACAATGGCACCAGGCAGCCAGGGTTGTTACGAGTGTTTTGTGACAGAACATTTGTCTGGCAGTCGGCACAGTGCTCAATAAACGGTGGCTATTTTCCCTCTCGAGGGCTGGGCTGTGCCGGGATCAAAGAATGAAGGCAGCCCCACAGCACATCTAATGAATCAACTAATCTGTTATTTACCAAGAGTCATCTCTGAGGATGCAAACAGGAAAAACAGGTACCGGGGTAAAGGAACAGATATGGAACTGCCTTAGGAAGTGGAGAAAGGAAAACTAGAGCGGCCGAAGCCCCTGCAGGTTAAAAGCAA